AAACAATGGATGACGTCACAAGATCCCTACATCGCACATGCAAAGTTTACATGCGAATTAACACGGATAAAAAATTCCAACGAGCAACTGTTGGGTAGAAAGCCCACCAGGCACGATCACCTCGCCTGGTCGGAGGATCCTCCTTTTCCGATCTTAGGGAACTATACTCTCTGTTCCCTAAACATATGGTCGTCGACTGCCTCGTTGGCAGTGTTCGTAAGTGCGACTGCCGGGCAAGGGGTTTGTGGTTGATTCCCGGGTCGGGCAAAGTATTACTGCATGGAGTCTGAAATTGTGCTCGGTTTATGGCATTAGGCTCACCCCCCTATTACATGGGACTCATAACATAAATAATGTGCTTTCGGGGATAAAAAGCGTGATGTTATGTTATACATATCGTCACATTGCGGTAGGCAGAGACAATAGAACGCCAAACGCCACGATTCTGATGTACCTATCTCTTTCGCTACATCTACATTCGTCAATCTCTTAATGGATCCTTGTCTATTGACGGTGCTCTTATAATCAATGTTAATACCAGACACAGAGCTCTCTGGTAAACCTGAACCTTTTGAACTGCGGTCTCCAACTAAATATGATATTTTACGGAAAGGCTAAGTCTAGCTAGCGTCAGCGTAATATAATTTCAATAATTTATAAAAGGGTAGTATTTTAATAAATCGATATAAAAAAATTTAGGACATAATATATTTTGGGCCCACAGGTTAGTGGGCCCCTGCGTTACTATGGGCCCCTAACTATTATACCTCTAGAGTGATGTATTATTTAGTGACGATTACACAGTCTTACAAAAAAAAATATAACATTCCATCATGCCTAGATCCCTAGTCATCATCGTACCACGAGACAATCGGCGAAGCGTCACCAATTCATGTTAGATGTCCCACCCACACGCACGAAGCGCTTCGCATCAAGCTTCCTTGTGCGTACTGCTAAGGAGTGGAATTCTTTGCCAGAGTCTGTATTTCCTGAAGGGTATAAACCTGGGTGTCTTCAAGGCCCGAGCGAATACGTTGCTTATGGGACGACGTGCTCCATCGTAGACCGCATTATCGCTTACCAATAGGCGAGATAAAGGTCAAACGTCGGCCCATCAAATATAATAAAAAACGTCTTCTATCCCCGAAGGGGTAGGCAGAGACGCACGCTTACGGCACTTAATGCCACTGTTTATAGTAAGTCCGATGTAATAGGGGGTGAGCCTATTGTCATATACCGGGCACAATTCCAGACTCCGTGCGACTATTGATACTATCGACCACTAATCCGGCCAGTCGCACTTCCGAACAAGTCTTACGCTCACATCAAACAATAGTTATATTATGTGCATCAAATTATATAATAAAGTTCCTAGTGAAATAAAGGCCCTACCATTGTCAAAAAAAGTTGTCTAAAAAAAGTTCTCCTTGATCGTTGTTTTTATAGCGTACACGAGTTTCTAGATTATAAGTTTAAAAGAGCCAAACATAATGTGAGGGTCTATTGGACTGTTTTTTATTGTTATTTTGTGGATTAACGGCTGAATATTATTATTATTGTAATATTTTTGTTAGTTTTATTTTAATGTTTGAAAATAATGAACCTCCTTTTTTATATAGTAATTTTTATTTTGACGTGTACCTTTAATGACATTGTTTTCTCACTTAATATGACATATCTTGTTTTATAGTTTTAATGATTATGACTTCCATGTAAAAGTTTTGCACGCCCGAATTGTGGGCAGAATAAGAGGGACTATAATCATAATGTGACCACTGTATACCTTGTTCGGGCAAATAAATGATTTTTGATTTGATTTGATTTTGAACACTCGGCCAGAGGCAGTTAAGGCACAAAAAATAAAACTAAAAAATTACTAAATAACAATATATTCGTTATAAAATTTATTTAACTAAAACAAATAATGTATACTACATTTTTGATATAGGTACTAATATAATATGTAGAAACAAAAATATGCTGCCATTTTTCACTATCCTAAGTTTAAAATAATAATTTATGTCAATTTGTCAGCACCCCTACTCTTCCCGCGGGTATCGTACACCCTATGGGACTACACATTACACAGAGACCGGGCAGCAACGCTCTCTGATAAACCTGAACCTTTTAAAACAAATAAATACATAATTGGGTACTCGCCAACTAGTCAAATTCAATACTTTTTTCCAACTGTCAAAAACGACAGTTTTCTATGAATTTTGTACGAGATTGTGTTTTGTGACGTCACGTTTTTTTAGCGTCAAACGGCTGAATTATTTCTTAAAAATTTGCTGAAAAAATACAAAAATTAAGTTGGTCATAAAACGAATTAATGAATGTGTGATTATTTTTTTTTAATTTTATTGCATTGAAGAGTCGAAATAATATTTATTTTAGACTAAGAAAAGTACCCAATTATATTATAAATAAATAATTTATTCACAAAATAACATTGCAAACATTTATATGTAACATTCTTTATTGCATAATAGTAAATAGGTATTTTATTATTTTATAAAATTCTACTGAGGTACTTACAAAAATAAACCTTCATACAATACCAGTCTATAGATATTGCATCGACTTTTGAATAGCTAATGACAAAAGACAATCTCGTCACGAATGGGCCGGCTCGACCGGAGTGATACCACGGCCGAGCAGAAAACCGACGTGAAGCAACGCTTGCGTTGTGTTTCGTCGTGTGAGTGAGGTTACCGGAGGCCCAATTACACCTACTCCCCTTCCTCAATCCCCCAATCCCTGAATCCCCAATGACATTCAAATTCCTAATCCCCAAAACGCCGGTAACGCACTTGTAACGCTTCTAGTGTTCCAGGTGTCCATTAGCGACGCTGATTGGGGCTTACTCTTGAATCCAATTCCGATCGATCGACATTGATATTGTGTCGTATTCTTGAGTTGGAACTCTAGCGCCCATTGCATCCGTATTGCGTGGATATTGAATGAACTAAATAGTATTGAGTTTGTCTTTATATTCCGTACTCTGAATGCTATTGTAACAGCTACGATTGTGGTTGTATAGTTTTGACATTGAGTAATTATTGAGATTTTATTGGATTGAAATTGCGTTGACATTAAGATTGGTTTCAAGAGTAAGCACCCAGGTGATCCGTAAGCTCGTTTACTGGCTTCTTTCATAAAAAAATATGAGAATTACTCGTCAACAGTCGTGTAGCTTACTGAGCTTCAGTAGGTTGCGTGACATGGCTGCCTTTATTTGTTTTACTTTATATATCGAAAGTACTTATGGCAGTTGTATTGTCGAGAGACAAAAACGAAATAGATTTCACGGCGTGGTTTAACTCGTCGAGTACCGCCATTATAGACACAATTATAGAACAATAGGTTGCGGTCACCGGTGACCGCTTGGTGTTTGACAGTTTAATAGGGTAGTTTCCTAATTTTTATTTCAATGTCCGTCTGGTAGATTATTTTAAAACATTAGACACGCATTTTTTATTTTCTTACGGAAACGAATACTTTCGACGATATTATTGATTTGAAATGTCGCGTGACGTCACTTCTATGTACATTTTATACGTAGAAATGACGTTTTAGCTCCCACTCCTAACCTTTGATTCGTTTTATCTAAGTATTGTTTTATTATACGACAAAATAAAAAAAATACGTGTCTAATATTTTTTCATTACCTAACTTACGGACTAATTATATTTTAAATTTTCATACCCTGTCATCATCTCAAACGATTTGATATTGAGAAGTATACGCGAATTGACCGATTGTCTCTTTCCAAAGATAAATGTGCAATATTTATAGCCAGGTACTATAATCTAGGTAGCCTAGACAATCTAGGGTATATCCTATATTAACACCGATCCCCGAAAAATCTCAAAAAAACAAAACAAAATATATATAAATACTTTACATAATGGACATCGGTGTAGCCGTAATTCGTCATTTAGTTGGGGCTAACACTTTTTTTATTACTAGATGGCGCTGGCGTAAATCTTTATTTTTTTTTAAGGGGGGTAAATCATCGAATGACTGCTCCCGCCTGGGTGAGGCGGGAGGGAGTGTCAGACTCTTACTGACTAAAAACCACCCCGTTCCTTCTCCTGCACGTCGAGCCGGAGCCCCGGTTACCCGTTAGGTTCTCCGCGAC